ACCCCAGGATGGAACAAGGACATAGCAGACCTGTGGTGGACGTCTCTGCCCAGTAAGAGAGGGGCTAACGGCTAGAGACCTCAGACAGGAGTGAGCAGGTCGTGAGTGTCCTTTGTCTCCTTGATGTCTGTCATGCACACCTAGCCAGGGTTCCCTAGAAGCCTCCAACCCAGCAAGGCAACAGCTTCACAAAGAGCGACTGTGGAAAACGGGCCGTGGGATGCACTGACTGAAGCCAGAAAGCCTTAGGATGTGCTCTTTCCAATCCAGCCGCAGGTCTCAGCGAGCTGGGCAGGGTGCTCATTCTGAATTCGGCCTGATTCTCCCCCATGGTAGTCGAAGATCTGAGTAGAAGTGGATAGAATAACATTCTTTCCAGAAAAGCCTCCCCTGGAAACTTCGGTCTCAAGAAACCATGAAAACAAAACTTCAAACCAAATGGTTGAAGGAATACAAACAATAGAGACACAAAGTATAAAGTAGTGATCATTTGCGATTTGGGTGGTGCAAGAGAACAGCATCGGTGCCCGTACCCTTACTTGAAAGATATAATAAAGGGCCAGGAAGATGGCTCAGTAGAATAAGCGCTTCCCTGGCAAGCGCAAGGGTCTGAGTTCAATCCTCTGGCAATGTAAACGGGCAGAACAATTTCCTTGACAAAAATAAATGCACCAAAGAAGAAATATAAGCACAATAAACACACGAGTATATGGATACTGTTACACAGTCGGTCCACCCGCAGTCAGAACTCTAGCTTTTGCCCGTCCCAGGATTCAGCAAAGCTTCCTGTGCTGTCCTTCTGGAGCTGTCTCTCCTGCTTGCAAAAGCGCGCTCCAGAGAGACTGCTGGCGCCTGTCGTGGCAGGGCTTGGAGCAGAGCCACCGCAGGCAGAGGCCCAGCTCGCTGGGGCACGGGAGGCAGGCACTCACCTGCTCAGGTCAGTCCCAGGTGCATACTGCGAGAACCGCGAGTGCAGCAGCGGGAGCAGCCGCAGGTCGCACCACCGCTTCTCCCAACGCAGGCCAGGCGAGGTCGGCCAGGAGGAGCAGGACAGCGTGTCCTGCAAGAACACACACAGGCACGCGGTCAGGACTGCACGCCCGCTCCGGTCAGGGATGCTCTCGGTTAGCACTGCTCTTTTCGACCCCTGTGGGTCAGAACACTGTTAGAGACTTTTTAAAACGTTGAGCTCTTTTAGCTTAGCCCCATGCTGGCCAACCTTCATGTCATTCTTGCTAATTTCACCTTTAGTGTAATTCTTTGAGTAGCGGGGAGAGGTGCTAGTGAAGATCCAGAAAAGTGAGGTGAAGAGTATGGGGTTAAAGGAATAAAAGGGTGGGTGAACTGGATTCACTCAAGAATGGGAAAGATAAAGCAAAACGGAATAAGCTGTAGTCCAATGAAATAACACTTTCTGATACCCGGTTGGCACCCAGAACCCTTGGAAGTGCCAATGATCTATCGGTCCTGGTCAAATCTTCAGGAATAAATCACCATTCCTATAAGACAGCTATCAGAACCAGGAAGTCTGTGTTCATTGTTCAGACTGAATATTTATAAAAGGTGTAGATATCATTTTCTTGTATTATTTCATATCACACAAGACAACTATTGTTGGTTTTACATTCATGAATGTTCATCTCTTGCAGGAGTTTGTGTTCCAACCCCACCCCCAGATATTGAGAAGATATTACTTGGAAAAAAAGTAGCTCTTTCAAATGGTGTGTTATTCCAGCTTCCCTGTGGAAATGCTCCAGCACCAGTCAGGTTGTCAGTCTGTCACAGCTTAATTTCACAAAAGAACTGTTGACTTTGTGTCCTCGCTATTTACTAAATTTGAAGTGATGGTGTTAACAAGTCTTTATTTAGTTCAAATTTGAAACTTTGTTGTCAAAATATTAAGTATAACTTTCAGTATTTCTTTATGTGGATGATGAAGAAAATGGGCAAAATGTACTAAGTCCTTGAAATGGTTTAAAATATTTAAAGCGTTGGATGAAGACCACCTGTGAAGGGTTCTGTTAGTGACTCATTGAGCTTGAGTCTTTGGAGGAGAGACCACTGTTCTCAGTATTTATCTGGTGATTGCAAAGATGCAAACCAAGATTTGACATTGGCTCTTCCCAGGGTGTCATGGAAGCTGTCACAGGTGGTTGGCGTGTGAAGTGCGGGTTGGTTCTTGGGGTCATGAGTAGTTAGCTCTTCACACCAGATGTCATGGTGTCAGCAGGGCATGTGGCCTCTTCTTCATTTTAGATGACACAGGTGCCCAGTGTGTGACTTGAGGACAGTACTGTGGCAGGGCAGCAAACCTGTGAGACCATCCAGTTTGAATCCCAATGAGTCCATTAACTTACAGTCAAGCTACCTAAAGTCGCTGTGTCTCACTGTGCCTATTTTCAAAGTGGGAATATAAATGGCAGTGACTCCTGAGAGGCCGATCCGCAGTAAATGCTGAAACTCTTAGAATATACTTAACACTGAGCTTCCTGCATTTTCATTTACTCAAAACTCTAATGGAAATTTTACATTTACTCATAACAGCAGGGTGACAAGAAAGGCTAGTTGGTAGAGAGAAGTAAACACTGACTGAATAAAGCATTTAATAGTAATAGTTTTGAAAAAATAGGTAAAACTACTTTAAACGTGAAGCTTTCAAGAAGGAAATCCTTACTCATTCTAGCAATATTTTGGCTACTACTTTTTATAATCCTTCGCTATACTAAGTGCTGTACATGCATTACTAAGAAGCCTCACAAAAAAATATTTCATTTTGCATAGGAAAAATCAAAGGCCATTTTGTAGAAACAAGGAGCTATGGCTTCCCTCTTGTGCAAGAAGGGACAAGGAGAAATAAAGTTGTTAGGCAGACTTGAAAGAACGGACCAAGTCCTGTGAGCAAACAGATCACTTCACCCTGCCTCCTGCCTTGTGCTGAATGTCATGGGTGGACAGATCATGATACAGGGCCAGTTTCTCCTTATGCTTGGCGTAGTTGGGCAGCAGCACATGATCTGGTAAGAGTGTAGCACATACAGTGCACACCTGAAATGCACTACCAGGACCAAGCATGCATACCTGTTCCTGGAGGCTCTCAACAAACAGCTCACCAAGTGTCCAACCAACTAATGGCAGCCTTACAATTCACTCAGACCAACCTGCCTCTGATACTGTGGCCAAACTCTTTTGTAGCACATAATTCAGAATGTATAATTAGAGGTGAAATGACAGACTCATTCAGATTTTCAGATGATTAATACTTTTGTCATAGAATTTTTGGAAAATTATTTAAAGGGGATGCATCATGTTTTATAAGAGGTGAGAACTATTTCCCTAACTTTTTCATGTTAAAAAAAAAACAAAAACTATAAAAAATAAAAAGATATGGGCTGTCAAACAGTAAGAACAATGGTAATCTCTAATAAGTGGGTATGACATTTTAAAATTATTATGATAGATGTCATAGATTATTAGATATGAAAATATGTGTGCTCTTTGATATTTATTTTTATCATCTTGATGCTCTTATTTATCAGTGTTTTAAATGTATCATTTATTTTTTTACTTTTTAAATATATCATTCTGACTCCTTATAAAATACAAAATAGATCTAATCAAATTTTTGGGTAATCATGCTTGATACATTTTTTAGTATAGAGCAGCCATTTACAGTGAAATATCTAATAGCCTTTAAATATTATTTATACTCCTTTATTTTAATTATAATGATAATTATACATTTGTTTTCTGCCCTTTCTGTGATACTGTAGTTATTTAGAATTGTGTAAAAGAATCTGAGAATGGAACCATGACTTTGAAAATTATAGTAATTTTTAAAGAATCCTACCATGTCAAGAATATTGCCTTCTATTAATAATATGAATGGAAAGTAACATTGACATACCCCTTGTTTTAAGATAGACTCTGCTAGAACTTAACACAGGTCCTCAAGAACCTGAAGAGCCGGGCCAAAACAGGATTGTATGCAGGGCAAAAGGCTGACTCAGATTTCATTCTGCATGTGGCATAAAAAGTAGTTAAGAAAAGTAGACATCAAAATAAAATGGTTTTCATAGATTTCTTAACTGATCACCAAATCAGAGCCTCTGAAACAATTTCCTTTATCTCAGAGAAATGTAGTTCAGTGGGTCTGGGCTGAGATGTCCGGTACTTGTGTTTTGGTTATCAGAACTTGGTTATCACTCTTGTGCTGCCTAAAATTGGCAACCTCAGGTCCTTGGAAGGAATAGGTTATATTTTTATGTGGAATGATAAAGTGATTCTGCTATATTATGAGTCTTTATTTTCTCTGATGCTCCAATGTTTCCATATAGTACCACAGCCGTGCCTACTGACTTAAAATTCACATCACACTATAATTAAGGCACAGGTATTAAAACTGGAGTTCATACAACTTGTGATTTTATGTACAATGTAATTTCAATTTTTTCTAAAGCAAAAATGGAGTTCTTAGATGCTGAACAGAATTTTGGATTAGTTCCTCTGTGGAGTCTAATATTTGTTTCAAGGAGCTCAAGCATCTATAACTTGCAAATCTTCTACAGAAAATGTGCATGATGCACACATCTTTCTAAGTACCCTGTTCACTGCTATTTCAGAAAACAACATTTACTTATCCTGTCGTAATGTTGTAAATCTCTGAGTAAAGTTATTTTCCTTTCTCCAAAGCTTATTCAAGGTTTAGAACTTATTCAAGATATAGAAAGAAAAACAGGGTAGATCAGCCATATACATAGGCATGATCAGATTTTTTCTCTGTATTTAGAACAGAGTCTACAGGGTCTACAGGGTCTTACTACATAGCTCAGACTTGTAGTGATCCTCCTATTTTCAGCGTCCCAACTGCTGGGATTAACAGTATATGCCACCACACCCAGTCTCCAAAGCTGTCTTAGTGCACTCCGGGGGTGGGGCTGGCACGGCACACCAGGGACCAAACCCCAGCTGCTATACTGTGCCTAAGCAGGTGCTTTAGTCCGCTGAGCTGTCAGGATGGCCCTGGCATAATCAGATTGATTTGAAAGAAGAACGTTCTCTTGCGACCAATAGAACATATATTTGGTTCATAGACTTTAAACTTTTTTTTGTTTCTTTTTGTATGGTACAGGGCCTTCATACTGAGACACATCAGCCCTTCTATTGTTTTGTTTTCTTATTTTGAGACAGGATCTCGATAAGTCTCTATATTTCCAATGCTGTTCTTGAACTTGGGACCCTCCTGTCTCAGCTTCCCAAAGTGCTAATGTTACAGGTATGTGTCTCCACTCCTGCTTGTGGTCTCTAAACTTTGAATTCAACTACATGAGGCTTTCATATTCTCTAAAGCTTTTGTCTGTGATTAGAATGCCAATGGCTGTTTGCTTTTTCTTTTTTCTGTTTTAGTTTAATTTGATTTAATTTATTTATTTGGTACAGGGTTTTGCTTCACAGCTCAGACTCATAGTGGTCCTCACCACCATGCCCATTTTCAGTGGCCAACACAGAGGCACGGTGTTCAGTGCCGGGGATCGAACCCAGGTCTTTGCACTTGCTAGGCAGGTGCTTAGACCGCTGAGCAATCTCCCCAGTCCTGTTTCTATTTTTAAATTAATCCTTTGGATTTGTCTATAGATCTAGATTTTCAACTTTTTGAATAAGGATTCATAATTAACAGATTCTCAAAATATCTACAAACGTTTTCCTGGTAGTTTCTCACCAAAAGTTCATCCTATTTATATTAATCGAACTTATAAATGTACTTAATATGAATTTACACGTGTTGTGACTCTTATCCTCTAAAGTATTGCAACTACCTTTAGTTTCCATACACTAAAACATTTCCAGCAGTGGCAAAATAAAGTTCAGCCTTAGTTCGAAAACTGAGGACACAATGTGCATCTTGGAAATGGATAGATATAGCTCTAGTCTGAACAAAGTATACAAATACATTTTGCATTGTATACAACTGGATTTATTTGGAACAATTATGCTACAGAATTAGAGTAGTTTTCTTGGTCTTATTATGGATTTCAATAAGATGAAATTGTTCCACAGTTCTGTGTGCTCTTAACAGGGAATGAATTAGAACAAACTGGGATGATTTTATCCCTTTTAATCTGACTTCTCTGCTGCTTCTTATTATAAAGGAGTTCAATGACATTCAGTAAGAACTAGATTAAGAGCATCACCAACCTGTTTTCATCCATTCTGACATAAATTAGCTCTTTTTTTTTTTTTTCTTTTGAGGAACACAGCTGAGATGGAGATTTTTGTGTGAATGACATGGAACTTTCTCAGAAGAAGCCTGCAGAGTGAAGGAGGCAGGGCGGCAGAGGCCAAGATTCTGGTTAAAGATGCAACTTCCGGAAGGAAGACTACACCTCAACTGATGATTCACAGAGGGCGCCGCGCCGCCTACCTTCCCATAGCAAAGGTGCAGCACACACCTGGGGGGATGCTCAGTGGCTTCACCCCTGGCAGAGGGGCTCCATACAAAGAGGACGAGGTGTGAATAGGGGCGCTACCATCACAGCATCCAGGGCTGGTGCATCGCAGGGGAAAGGAGAGTGGAAAGGACATCCGAAGCCTAAAGGTAGTCTAGACAGTGAGCAAAGCGATTATGAAAGTAAAGAGATGTAAGTAAGTGGAGCTAGAGCTGTAGATCAGAAAAGAGCACTCGACCTCTTGCACCAGGCCCTGGTTCAGTGCCTGACATGGAAGAAGGAAACGATGGCCACTGGAAGGCGTGGCTGGAACTGCGGAACTGGCTGATGGAACTGATAATACATTTATTCTTCTCGTTAGGAAACTCAAAGTTTAAATGACTCAGATCTTGCCAGCTTTAGGAGGTCAGTGTCACAAATGTTAGTAGTAGATAATTTTTCCTCTAGTAAGGAGAATTTTAAAAATCAGATGAAATATAATCACATGTGGCTGGTTTTATAAAACATCCTTACATTGGTAGCAATAACCTTTGGCTTTAAGCAACTGTTCCCCTCCGTAAGAAAGAAAGCAAAACCTGGGGGACCTAAGGTGCTCAACTAAGGAACAGTGCTAGTGGGTCGTTGAAGACCTCGCAAGCTTGAGGATGTTCGCAGGAATCTTTTGAGACAAAATGCCACAGTGCAGCCAAGACTTTCAAGTGGAGGATGAGTCCCACAAGTTAGAGGAGACGATGCCTTCCACACTGTAATACATGGAGCAGGAAAATAAAGCTCTGCTTAAGGGCAGCTGAATCAGGCTTCATGTTTGCGAGCACAGGGCACAACGGCTTCATAGAAACAAAAGAATTCTTGTCATCATTAAAATGTGTGTTCTGAGGGCTAAGCTAAAAGGAATTGCAGATGTATTTTTGGAAGAAGAAATCTATGTACTCCAATGTAGAAGAGAAAAATGAACATTAAAAATTGATTTCAATGTCTGTAAATTCTGCTAATTTTATATTCTACTAAATATTTGCATAGCCAAACAGTTACCAAATTTCAGATAATGTGTAAATATGATGTTTTCAATTTGTAGAAATTCCCTGATATGCATGTTGCTAAATCACAACAAATGGCAGCAACTTTTAGCTAAATGAAATTAAAAACGGTACAAGTTTTGTCAAATCTTGTAGAGCACAAAATTCCATAGAATATGGAAGGCTCTGAAGTGACTATGTGATGTTGTTTGTAACCTCCTCAAATTAGGAATATTCATAGTTTACACAATGCCTAATAGACATAGACATTAGAAGGGAAAAATGAAACAAAAATAAGGAGTCACTATTTTTTCCTCTAAGCTTATAAGATTGCATAAATAAGAAAGCAATGCGTAATTTCATATCTATCAGACACAACAGAATGAAGACAGTAGCACTTTTTACAGACTAGATATAAGCATATATATATATATATATATATATATATATATATATATATATATATACATATATATATATATATCCATGATTTTTTGTTATCGCTTTATCAGTCAGAACAATGCCTAGCCATCTTACCGTGTTGTTGGGATGGTAGTTAAGATGTAAGCCACTGTCACAAAGAGGAGAGGAGGTGCCACTGCTCTGGTCGCTCGGAGCACCTGCAGGAGACAAAAACCCCAATTCCCTCAGTGAGAATGCTGAGCCATTCCAGGGTGACGCAGTCCACATTAGCAAGAAATGAAATGGTCCAGGCTGGCCAAATAGCTCAGTGGATTAAAGCACCTGCAAGCAGGAAAAGGGGATGGGGGTTCGATACTCCAGCCTGCTGTGCTGGGCCTGACCCTGGACACACTGAGACAGCAATTGAGACTGGGTGTGGTGGCGCACACCTGTAATCCCAGCTCTTGGGAGGCTGTAAGCAGGTGGATCACTATGATTCCCATCTAGTAGTGAGACCCTGAAGACCCTAAAGGAAAACACCCTTTGTATTTCTCTTCCCTAAAATACAAAGAAAAAAAAACATAAAAAGAAAAAGAAATGAAGAGCTAAAATAAAATAGCATTTCATTACCATTAAAGCCAGAATTTTGCCAAGTGAGTTAAGCAATTCCAACTGTTGGGGCACTAAGAGGTACTATTTATCATTGATTTCCAAAAAATTATTAAAGAAAATATAGAACTTTATGGGAAGTATTATTTTCTTATACTATCCCAGTGGCCAACATGAAAAAATGATATGGAAAATAGTGCATGGTTTTGTTTGTCTAAAATTTTCATTTTATCATGCTTTTCTTTATTGGCAAATTCTCTATCCAGAATCATAATTTTCACAACACAAAGCATTTTCCACGTGCTCTGTCTTACAAGTGCTCCTGTTATATAGTCAAATGCTCTCATTGAGGGTGTCTACTTTTATGAAATTGTGCCGACAAAGTTTGTATTCTGTGCTCATAAAAAACTTCATAGTAGTGGGTTACCATAGAGAAGTATATGCGCTGTGGGAGCTCCCAAAGAGGACAGAGGAAAACATGAAATTTAGGCAATTAAATGGTGCTCAAAAGTATTCCAAGACTAAGAAAAAAAGTGATTTGTATTTCAAGAAACTCAAACAAATAGCCTCAAGTAGGATGAAACTAATCAAGCTGTCCAAAGTCATAGGGAAATATAAACTATTGGAGCAAGAGAAAAACGATTTGTTCAAAAAACAGAGATCTCTTGGGTTACCCACGGATCTGTCAACAAGAGCATTCCAGGTAAGAAATGTGTAGGATGATATAGTGTAAATGCTAAGAGAAAATAAAAAATAGCCAATCAGGTGAACTACATTTAATAGAATTTTTCACCCAGTGGAAGGAGAAATGTAGATATTTCCTAGGTAAAATAAAGCAGAGGAAAATTTTCACCACTAGATCAGCTTTACATAAACCTTAGATTTCCTGACGGTGAAATGAAAAGACACAGGAAACTGTGCAAAAATATAGAAAAAAAGTAAAACTTTTGGCTGAGTTAACTATATAAGCAAATTCAGACTCCTGTAATGTTGTAAATGGAGCTATTGTGGTTATCATCAAAAAAGACAAAGCAGGCATGCACATGCACATACACAAACACAGACACAAATGCTAATGAAGAAGAGAAAAAAGGGAAGAATTTATACAATAGATGCTCAGAATAGCCATTATGGAGATTTCTCTAAAAACATATCTTTTATCGCTTGTGTGTCTTTGTTCCCCCAAAGCCTCACGCAGTTACTGAGGTGCAGTTCTACAGTTTGTAATTAATTCATGATCCAAGGCTGGGATTATGGGTCAGAGTACTGCTGGGATTATGGGTGTGCTACAGTCAGCCTTGGATGGACAGCCTGAATGAAACTTAAGGAAGACAGACCTGCTCTCTGTAGCCATTGTCGCCGCCACTCCCTTTGCTATCTTGCTCTTTGCTACCATCATGAAGGGCTGCCCTGTGTCATGTGCCCTCTACCTTGGAGCCAGTGGAGTATGAACTGAAACTTCCAGTAAATGTGAGCTAAACGAACCTTTCCTTACTTCATTTTCAGTGTAGCGTATTTGTCCCAGCAAGGAGAGAAGAGTAACTGAGATAGCAACATAGACCTAACTTAAGAACCAGTCTACTGTCCACACAGCCAATGATCTAGAAGTCAGTATGCCAAAAAGATATTTTCACTGACATGCTATTGAAGCGCTGTTGATGAGCGTCAATATATGCCCTCCACCTGCTGAGTGCCTATTCCTGAATTACTGAAGAAAGTAATGGTCACATGACAGAGTGGAATCCAACCGTTTGGAGAAACATGGCACGGCCTGAAGGATGTCAAGGAAGGGCAGCAATCCAGACAGAGTAAAGCAAATACCACACAGCCTCGCTCATACGTGGAATCTAAATTAGTCGATCTCATGGGAGTAGAAAGTAGGGAGGTGTTTCCTGGCTGCTGAGAGTAGAACGTAGGGAGCGAGGAGATCCGATCAGTGAGTGCACAAGTACAGTCAGGAGGATTAAGTTCCTGTGTTCACAATAAATTATTGTATATTTCAGAGCTGCCAGAAGAGAGGATTTTAAAAATGTAAAGAAACGAGAAGCGTTTGATGTAATAAGTTCACTATTTTACCCTACACAAGCATTGCACGTGTATGCTTCAGAGTTATACTCCACACAATGAACATAGGAAATTATTATGTGTGAATTAATTTCGCTAAAAAATAAAAATTCAGGGGCTGGGGAGATGGCTCAGTAGAATAAGTGCTTGCCTGGCAAGTGTAAGGGCCTGAGTTCAATGCCCAGTTCTGCCAAAAAGTAAATAAATAAATAAATAAATAAATAAAAATTCAGTCATACGCAGAAAGATAGATAAATCTTGAGGGCATTATTCTAAGAATTTCAAAGTAAGATAAAAACGGCAAATAGTAAATTGTTTCAATTTTATGAGGTATTTAAATCATCTAACTCTTGAGGCCACCAAATAGCTCAGTGGATTAAAGTACCTGCAAGCAGGTGCAGGGGCCAGGGGTTCGATCCCCAGGCCTGCTGGGCCGGCCCCTCCTTCGAGGTGCACAGAGACAGAGATTGAGACTCGGCGTGGAGGCTCGCGCCTGTAATCCCAGCTCTTGGGAGGCTGTAAACAGGCAGATCACTATGAATCTGGACCCTTCCCCAAAATACATAAATAAATAAAAATAAGATTATGCAGCTCTTACAACCGAACCTAGAATGGGCACAGTGGTGGCGCCAACGAGAACCTGTAGCGGAAGGAGCACAGTTTCCGCTTTGCGGATAAATACGGGCAACCCTGGCAAGCTCTCCTTCAGGGCGCCCGCGCTGCTCGGGCCGTCGCGTGTGCTCGTGAGAACACTCCCCGGGCAGTCTTGCCACCCGCGATCCTCATCACGGTGCAGCCGGCTCACCTTGGAAATGCAGTCGGCAATTTATTACCAAGTTAACTGTGCGTCTGTCCTGTTGCTACGGAATTACATTCCCAGGTATTCATTACAGTGGAAGAGAAGAACACAGCTGCCAAGTAGCTGGTGCTAGAACGCAGAGCAGCCTCATCACTGACAGTAAAATAGGAGAAACAGATACATTTAAAGAGGAGGATGCACTGATGAAGTTTAATGCGCTCATAAATGGGTCATTACACAGGAACATCAATGACTAAATTGCTTAAATAGGGCAGAGGAGACAGCTCAGTAGAAGAAGCGCTTGCCTGGCACACACAAGGTCCGGAGTTCAACCCCTAGTTCTGAAAATAAAAAAA